AATTTGTCCTTCAAAATGGCCAAAATAACACTCTTTAAACTGTGAGATGATCTTCTTCTTGTAGGGACAGGAGATTCTTCCTTTATAAGCAAATTTCAGAACTGCTTTCTTTGTTAGACTCGAAGAGCAGTAGAAAATCATCCATAGAAGACTTAAATTTTTTCCATCCGAAGAACGGATTTTTATCCCTCAAAAAAATGCCAAAATAACTTCCAATAGAATATGAGATGATCTTCTTATAACAGACAGAAAGTTCTTCCTTTTGCAGATAATTCAAGAAGTTATCGTCTATACGACTCGAAGGTTAGCCTTTAGAAAACAAGGTGGTCTTCTTTAAAGAGACTCGATGTTTGTAGACCAGAAAAAACTTTCTTATAAGAGTCTATAACATCTTCCAACCAAAGACTATTTGTTAAAGGCAAAAATTTGGCTACGCATCCCTTGCGGATCATTCGTATATTTAGTAATTTCGAAAAAAACTCTAAGCACGTTCTTGAGGTCCACTTTCTGGCTATTTCGATGATGATTCGTGCGCCGGTTTCCGTTAAAAATATTTGGTTTGATTTCCACTCCAGGAATCGTCACTAAGTATGACTCAAAATATCTTCGAAGATCCATATTAAGATTCTCGCAACAGGACACTAAGGGATACTCTATATAAAAAATCCTCCGCTACTGAGGAAAAAAAACCCTCAAGTTTGGTAGAAAAAATCTCCATCTCAGTTCGCTGAGTAAGACCCTTTTTAAGTAAAATTATTCTGTTGGGGATAAAAATTTTTCGGTAAAAAATCCACTTACTAAGGAAGAATTTGTTCCAAAAAATCCCTTAATTGGTCGAAAACATTTCTCGGTTTGTGTGCAGATTTTAACTTTGCGGGACTTGTTCTCATTCCCGAAGGAAAATATTTATATCTAAAAAAATATTCCTCAATAACTTATAGAGAATTTTTATAGAAAAAAAATACTAATTTGCTAAGGAAGAGCACTTAAAAAATCCTCCTAAGTTCCAGGTTTACACCAAATTTTGAGAAGAAAGGCGCCAATTGACCCCAAAAGTCACGTTCTGGTGTGATGCTAAATGTCCGAACTTTAATACGGTTGAATTTAATTCGTAGATGCAATTTCGAAACAATAGTCGGCATAAATACAACTTATCAAGTAAAGACATTTGTAAGCCACATTGCCCAATATGCTTGATGAGCCGCTTAACCAACGGCGAAACGCGTCGCATAGTGGTGGGAATGTAGTATCTCTCTGGCTTTCCTTTTCATTGCAACTCCGATCATGTAGCCCATATTGAAACAGAAATTAATAAAAAACTTTTCAGATTAATAAAGGAAAATCTATAAAAATTAAAATAATAGAATATTCTAGCAAAAGCAATCATTCTGAAGACTACTGTTTTAATACAATGTCCCCATGCTGTCATTTCCTGAAAAACCTCCCAAATCTCCCCAATTTTCCAATTTTTTCTCAAAAAAATATTATTTGATATTTGTTGTATTTTTTTGCTAACATATTTTTTGCAGATTTTTATGGAAAATTGAACAATTTCTCCCTTGAGTCAAATTTATCGTCCCCTTTGCCAACCATTCCATTATCAATTGATGTCCTTCCTCGTTTTAGTGTTGACGTCGTTACTTTAAGCTTAACAAAATCTAAATTATGTTAGGTCAAGGATTTGTTTTGAACTGCAACGCATAACCTTTTTTATGTGCTCTTTTTCTCTTCAGTTGCATATTAAGATATCCTTCAAAGAAGGGACCCTTCATTTTGAAATGGTCATAGCATTTGGTCTTCGTTTGAATGTTTTGATTTTTTTGTCGTTGTAAGATTTTGTTAAAGTGTAAATGTATGGTAAGGATTTCAAAGATATCCTTTTGTATATTTTTTATGTTATCATTTAGTTTCGCTAGCTTGCTAACCATAAACATGCATATACATGATTTCATTAAAGTTGATGGTAAAAAATGTGATTGGCAAGAATAACAATGTATTGTAGTTTTCGATGGAAATTTCGGTTTAATAAAAAGGGGAAAACTAAAGAGGTTGGGGAGGAAATGTTTTCTTTAAGAAGAAATATTTTTAACTTCAAGGAGCATCTTTCGAAATGTTTAATTATTTATAACCTAATTGAATTTTATTTAACGTTTTTTGACTTAAATTAGCTGTGAAACCCTACAAACCAACAATTCAATTTTGAATACAACCCTCCTGCACTTAAATAACATCCTGGAACAATTGTACCAAACAATTGGCCATAAAGATTTCTCAGAAGTTGACAACAGAAAATTGAATTTCATTTGGAATACTTGAAAATCCTGCAAACACACACATACACTTCCCTATCCTTGACAATTTTGGTTTTTATTTGTCTTCTTATTTCTTCACTTCGTTCTCCACAACAATATTAGAATATTTTGAATAAATTTTAAAAGGTTATCATTATCAAGGATAACCAGGATAACAATGAGCAATGAAATGAGATAAAATAAAAGAAACTCATTGGACAAACAAAGCAAAAAATAAAAACACTTGTCAATCGCTTAACATTACAAGGTCATTGAGAAAGTTAAACACATTGTTGGCGATAATGTTTGCCTCTGTGTCATAATCTCCAAGGATATTTATCCTTGGTAGCGAAATGTAACAGCTTCAATGAAATTGAGTTGTAAATACCAACTCAGCATCGAAGTGACTGGATTATCAACCAAAATGACAAGCAAGAATGTGAAAACTACGCAGAAAAAAATGTTCATAAGCTGCAATACTTATAAAAAGGATTAAACACATTAGCGGAGGACATTGGGTGAAATGAGGGAAAGTGGGAAAATAGGATGGAGGAGAGATTTATAATTAAAAAATGAAATTACATTTACTTACATGTTTAGAAAATTTGTCAGAAGTAGTATTTTTATACCCTCCACCATAGTATGGAGGGTATATTAATTTTGTCATTCCGTTTGTAAATCATCGAAAGATTCATTTGCGACCCTATAAAGTATATATGTTCTCGATCAGGGTAAAATTGTAAGACGATCTAGCCATTTCCGTGCGTCTGTTGTAATCACGCTATCTTCTGAAGTAATTGAGGCAGATCGCCAAAATTTTGCATAGAGTCTTTTCAAGGTCAAGTTCGAAGATGGGCTATATCGGTCCACGTTTAGGCATAGCCCTCATAGTTTGGGATTCTTGAGCTCGCTTTTCAACCCAATTCGCTGAAATTTGGTACATTGGGTTCTTTTTGGGTACCAAATATCTCCACTAAATATTGTAAATATAAGTCCATTTTTTCTGGTAGTTCCATATAATGGTACCACCAAATTTCGATATTTTGAGGTTCTTGAGCGCGTTTTTCAACCGAATTCAATGAAATTTGGTATTTTGTAGTCGTATATGGTAACAAATCTCCCTACCAAAAATTATTAATATTCACCCCCTTTTAGGGGTAGTCCCTAGCCCCCATATAATGTAAATAAATGTATTCTGATGCAAAAATTTTAGTTTCGAAATGGAGCTATATCTGTTAGGCCGAAATAAAACCTGCGTATATTGGTGATGGCGTTATATAACTCTGACCTCTTAATTGCAGTATTTTGGGGATGTTTCACCCTACCATGCATCGTCAATATCGGACCACTTTCTGGGAGTTTTTAGGGAAAATATCCATTAAAAATTGCTGAAATTTGTATTTGGTGTACATTGCATTTTTCGGTATAGGTCCACTTTTGTGTACGTATCCTATATTTTCGATTTTTTTTTAATATTTGTTAGTATACCTTTTTGGAGGAATATAAAATATTTTCCAGTTCTAATGTTACGCTTTTTTAAAAAAATATTGCTAAGTTTAAATTTGGGAATGAATTTATAAAAACTTTAAATTTAATTTTAGCGTGGATTTTTAAAAAATATTTTTAAGTCTAATTTTAGGCGGTTTTTTAATATTTTGAATCTAATTTTTTTGACGTTGAAATTTAAAAAATCAAGTTTAATTTTTTGTATTTTTTAAAAAGATTTTTTGAAATCTAATTGTATGGCCTTTCCCTTAAAATAATTTAAGTCTTCCTCTTAACCATTCACTTTACTATAAAATGTCTACCAATACCCCACTGTGCCCACAACAATAATAGTGGTTTTCTGTTGTTTTTGTAAAACTAAACTTGGTTGCATAGCAGCATTTGTGTTTAATTAACTCGAAATGCCAACATCAACTTGGCATTATTGTCATCGTAATTAGAGACACAAATACAATTGCATACTTTTAGGGATAACGATGTAGTTACTTATTCGCTCCGTTACAGAAGCGTAGCTTTACTTATTCTCTTTAATAATGATGATTGTCATTAGTTGGGGGGAAAATTGTCATTCATCCATGCAACTATTTTGAATTCCTTGATTTTATTCGTAATCTTATCGTAAAATGTTAATGAAAATTAAAAAAATGCAATCGAAGGGGAAAATGTTTACAGGAGTTTTAATTAATTTAATGAAGTGATAAAAATTGATGGTTTACTTCATTATTTGTCTTCATTTCTTGGGGTTGGATTTTAGTAAGGGAATTTAATAAAAATCGATGTGGTATTAAAGGAAATGCATTGCAAGGTCTAGTAGACTAATTAAAAAGCTCATGGAAAAGCTTTGCCTTCATTTCTAAGGGAGAATGATATTATAATATATTTTACTTCAAATAAAATTTATTTTGGTTTAATTTTTTTTAAGTTTTTTAATAAAAAATTTAAATATTATTTCCTAAAAAAATAAATCCAACAATGTTACAGAAAATTCCCCTATTTGGTATGTGAAAAAAATGTTTGCTTTGCCATTTATCAATGTCAAGTTATTGTATGAATTTCAAAATTGCAAATGCAAATTTCTTTGATAAGCTTCTAGGGAAAAATCCCCCAATTTTCTGGAGTAGATTTTTAAAAATTCTATTCTCTATATATAAGAGATTTTCATAAGGTTAAGGTCATAGTTTTCAAACTACTAAACCTTTCATCATGTCATTAACATTGAAACTTGCAATTTTATTTACAATATTTTCGATATTTATTGGCATTGGTAATGAGACCGTAGCGACTTTTGTCCCTTCACCAAGATCTCTTGGTTTGACTGTGGTCTTGGGTGAAAAACAATATTATGTGGGTGTGTCGCAGAAGGTAAGAGAGCGGTTATTAATAAAATATAAATTTGAAGTGAAAAAAATATTAAAATTGTTTATAAATAAAAATTAATTTTGATCCATCTACCGGAAACCTCAATGATCTTCTATTTATAAAACAGTTTATCGATTTTTTTGTTTTCGTCATATAAAGTACCTTATTGGTCCAATCCTTCCTTGATTCTGATTTTTAAGTGCAAAATTAACACAAAATTTCCTTTATTTTTTATTTTATTTTTAGCTCAACTGGTATGCGGCCAATTATATTTGTGCTGCACGGGATATGACTTTAACGGCCATTGAATCTCAGGCGGAATATGATAATTTGAGCAATTATTTGTTTGCGAATTGTAAGTGTAAAGGTAATGTAGTAAAGTCGGACTGGGCTGACTTTATGATACCCTTCACCACTTTTGGATATATTCCACATATGTCGAATATATGTGGTAGCTATATCTGAATCTGGACCGATTTTCACGAAACCTAGCACATATCATTCTAGACTCAATTAAGTAAGGTATGTCAAATTTCGTACAAATCGAAGGATATATGGGGACTTTGGCGCACCATTTTATTAAATATATATGGGAGCTATATATAAATCTGACCCGATTTTCACGAAACTTATCACTCATTATTCTGCACCTAATTCAGTACCATATGCCAAATTTCGTGCAAATCGAAGGATATATAGGGAAAATTTCTTAAATAACAAAAATATATGGGAGCTATAAAAATTTAATTTTCGAAACCTAGCACACATCATTCTAGACTCAATTCAGTACTCTATACCAAATTTCGTGCAAATCGAAAGATATATAGGGACTTTGGTGTCCCATTTACCTTAAATCGGGCAAAACTATATATGGAAGCTGTATCTAATTCTGAACCGATTTTCACGAAACTTAGCATACATTATTCTCGATCTAATTCAGTACTCTATGCCAAATTTCTTGCAAATCGAAAGATATATAGAGACTTTAGTGCCCCATTTATTTTAAATCGGTCAAAACTATATATGAGAGCTACATCTAATTCCGAATTTCAATAGGGTTCGTCCACGGGCCAAATAAAGGAGCTGTGCCAAATTTCATCCAATTCGAATCAAAAATTCGGACATGAATAAATCGACATAAAAAGTGATTTTATGCATACAAACATATACACAAAGACATAATACCCTGTACCACAGTGTGGTGAAGGGTATAAAAACCAAGGAAAATATTTAAAAAAATTTTTGAAAAAAAATAATTAAAAAAAAAATTCAAATTTGTTGATGGTCAAAGAAAACATTTTTAGAATAGTTATTAAAAAAGTTGTTTAAAAATCTTAACAAAACTTGTTAGAAAATAATTGAAAATAAATATTTTTAAGAATTTTGCTTATTTCTAGCCTTTGGAAATATATAAAAAATTCTTAAAATTTTTTTGGGTCTTTTTAAATATATTTTTCTTTTTCCCTAGACTTATATGATGCTGGATTTTGGATTTCCGGTTCCGATTTAGCTTTGCACAAACAATACACCTGGCTATCGAGTGGTGCAAATTTCAATTTTACCAAATGGACCCAGGGACAACCCCCTAAAGGCAACAATCCCAATCACTGTGTTGCCACAAATAGCAAATTTGAATGGACCACTGCGAATTGTGTAAAGGAATACTTTTTCATTTGTTCCAAGCCGACAGAGCCGGCCTGTGGCGTCAAGGGTTCGTGTCGTTATACTTACAGTTTATTTTGAAAAAAAAAATAAATTTTGAAAATTTATTTTTTATTAAAAAATAAAGAATAAAATTCTTTAACTATGGAAAAAATACAAAAAAAAAAACACAATATTTTTTAATTTTTTTATAGTTTACAAAAAAACTTTTTATTACGCAAAATAGTACATGGGGTTGAGGGGGGGAACAATATATATTCGTTGTTGTTTTATTTTATTGTGATTTTTTTTTATTTTGTATATTTAAAGCGTAATCGAAATATTAGGAATTCTTATTGAAATAAGAAAAAAAATACAAAATTCTACGTATATAACTAAATTAAAAAAAGAAATGGAAACAAATTTACAGAAAATAGTGAATAAAAAAAATAACAGGCCACCTAAATATACACAATTTGTTGTTGTATGGCCATTTAAAAAATCCCTATTGTTTATTAAAATTAATGACTATTTTTTGTAATATATTTTTCATTTGTTTTTTTGTTTTATTATTTTCAAATATACATATTTATTTTTATTATATTAAATTATTATTATTATTATTATAAAAATAGAAATGGAAATTTGTTGCTTAAATATTTGGGGAAAATGTATGCATGAGTATTTGTTTAAATTTAATTTTTTTATAATATTTTCTAAATGTTATAAACAATATTTATACGTAGAGGGGAAGTAAGAGAACCAAATTGATTTTTTCCTTTGTTTCAAATAATATTTTTCTTTGGAAAAATATTACTGAAAGCACACACACGAATTAGATAATATCTACAAGGGGGGAAACAACACCTAAGGGAAATGTGAAATTATTTAAAAAAAAACGAAAAACGAAAACGATGACTGTAAATAGTTTGCAATTCCCTAAGAGAATTAAAATCTATTTGTGTAATTGTGGGCTTTAAAAAAACCAAAATTGTTAAAAAATTAAAATATTATTTATATATAGGTTTGTATTTGTTTTTATAAATAAAGTTTCAAATTAATTTATATACTTTTTATAACTTTCTAAAATCAAAACTAAGGCCAGGGGATATTTTTTTCTAATGAAATAGGTTTGGCTTGGCCATAACCAAATTTGTTTATTTTTTTCTTTCCTGTCAGGGGTCTGAACTTGATTTTTGTTTTATAATAAAATGTGGCAATTTTTATATAAAACCAAAAAAAATCTGATCCTGGAACTTTTTTTTGAAAATTTGTATTTTCTCCTATTTTTATAGGTCCACCTTTTTGTAGAAAAAATCAAATGTGAAAAAAAGTTTCTTTAAAAAAAACGGTCTCGTCGCTAAAAATTCCCTACACAAAACTATCCCCTTGCCAACTTCTCCTAGCTCTCATTCTCTCCTACTCTTCTCTTCAATTAATTATTTTTTTCCTAAACTTACAATTTACTTAACTAACTAATATTACATTGTTGTTGTTTTTATTTTATTTAATTTTTGTTGTTATAGTTTTCTCTTTTTTTTTGTTCCTGTTCATGTCACTTGTATGTATAAAAAAAGTCTCCTAAATTAATTAATTTAAAAAATTAATTAAAATAATAGTTGAAATTAAAAAAAAATCCAATGTCACATCATATGCGCCATCTTTAAATTAAATTAGAAAAAAGAGAACCCAAAAATTCACTTTTCACTCCTTGGGGCGAAATCTCAGTGAATCGAGGCTAAAGACCTACTACTCTAACTGGATACATACATATGTATGTCTGTGTGTGTGTGTGTATATCATCAATGATTATAACCAAATTGATATTTAGGTGGCTGCTGCTGTGATGACGATTTACTTTGATTGGGATAATAGAGATTATGATGTGACGATGAACGCCTGGGTGGTTCAGGACGATAATTGGCGGGATAATCACCATCTTCATGGCTGTGCGTATTACGATTTGGAGAATGGCGGCGCATAAATCTCTCCTCGATATTGGACGTAGGCCAACGTTGGAAGTGGCGGGTCGATTCATCGGAGGAACGTCTTCGTTGATAACGTTTGGCGGAGGCAAGGTGTGATGCATCTAAGTGTGATTGTTGGCGATAATTATCCTCATCACCACTACCAGCAGCTGCCGCACTGCCCACTACACCACCTCCCGTACTAACACGTGGCAAAGCTGAACGATACTTACGCCTCGAACGTTCATCCAACGATGAGGTGGGTGTAAACTGGCGCCTTGGCTCAACATCTTCATCATCAATGAACTCACCATGACGCCTCTGCAAATCGGCACCATAATTATCATAGGCAAAACGTTCTCCGCTATTTTGACGTTTACGTTCTTGATGTTCCTCCAAGCGGGTACGCCATTCATGGGCTGTTACCTTTTGATTGTACAAGGCAGGGTGGGCCGCAAATTGTGCGGAACTATTATTGGCAAAGAGATCGTGATAGGAGGATTTTCGCCAACCTTCTTCATATCGTCTCTGTGTTGTCTCATCTTCCAAGGCTTGACGTCTTTGCGAACGTGAGGAACTGCTTTCAGAGGAATCTTCTCCCGATGTGCCAATACCCAAATCTTTTTCATCGCCATATGCCTTATAGGGAGCACCCAAAAATCCTTTCGAGGTAAAACCATTCACACCAGCCACATTTGAGGCATAGGGCAGATAGAAGGCATTCGCAAAGTTCTTATCCATTTTGGCCAATTTAATTTTTCCCTCAATTTCATCGATTTCATCATCACAGCCCTTATCACGTCCGGTCCATGTTTGCCAAGAGCCAGGGCCGAAGAGAGACAACAACACGGGCAACAAGAACAGGCCATGCATGGCACCAAAGAATATCACCAAGAACACCATTTTGAAGAATACCAAGAAAATATAACTTTGGGCCAGCAACAGGGCGACAATACCCAAAATCGTGGAACTGGAGCCTTGAATAATTGGCAAGCCCAGCGAATGGAAGGCTTCACGTACTCTAGCCTTTGGACTCTTCTTTTTCGATGACATATACGTATAGCAAATGTGGGCGGTAAAGTCGACCGAGAAGCCGATGCACATGATCAGGTTAATCATGGAAATGGAATCCAAATTGACATCCCACAAGGCCATATAACCGGCCACACCCATTTCAATGGATATCACAGAGAATGCCACCCACAGGGAGCACAAAATATTCGGTATAAACACAAATGAGATGATCATCATAATAATGGCACCAATTATCATCGATTGTATCGAGGTGGGACGCACCAATTCGAACTGGTCGAAGAACACAAAGTAAGGATGGAAGATGGTGGCATTCAGCGGCGAGTCTTTGCAAATTTGTCTCAAATCACGGACCATTTCCTTTTCATGATTGGTATCGGTAATGTTGACAGCTTGGATAAGGAAGCGGGAAGCCAAAATCTTTGTGCCATTTTCATTGAATTTAACATCCAAAGAGAAAGGATTTCCAGGGAACAGCCAATGTTCTTTGACGGCGTCGATGAAGTCTTGTTCGGTGTCCAAGGTCAAATTTAAATAGTCATTATTACGTTCAACAAATGACAGGAAGGAGCGGATCCATGATTCCGTGTACAAGGAGGAGGTGACATATGAGGTATTTTCCAAATTGCGTGTTAACTCCTCAATATCATCCTGGACCATGGGATCGGAATAGTTTAAATCACCAGTTATAATGACCTGTAAACAAAAAGGACTATTATTAGCATGAACTAGGGAGTATAAAATCAGGAGAACCCTACCTGCATACGATATGGAAATTCGCGATAATAATCATCTTCACGATCGAAAAATTCCACTGAATAAGAATCTGAACGTGATAATTTACGGCGCTCCAAACCCTCCTTCATTTGGGTAATGCCATAGCAGGCCCCAGCTAAATAGGCTCCGAAAATCAAAATTATTAAAAATTTACACCAATTGTTGTTGATAATGGCCGATAAATTGTCACGGAAGAATTTCATCAACACATGGTCTTTGTTGTCGGTGGGATTGTCGGGATCTTCGCGGTTGATGCCACCTGACATAATGGCGCGGTAGAAAATGTTGCGTTTTTCTAAAAGATAAAAAAAATATGAAATAGATTATAATCAGATTTTTTTTAGGGATTTAAGCTAAACTTACCCTTTATGGCCACCGATAGAGGTTGCACCTTGCACCCGAATATAGCATGACGATTTTGTTGTTCTCTATAACCCGATATGGCCATGCAGGCAGCAAAGAAGGTAACATGCCACAAAAAGGTGAAACCCACCGCCAGCACCGAATATTTACAGAAGATTTGAACCGATCGGAAGGGACTAATGATGCCAATCCAAAATGAAATTAAATCTGTCAATGAGGTGATGGTAATCGAAACAGCTGCCTCGGACATCATGTGACCCATACGTTCAGGAACAGACATTTTGGGGGAAGTTCTACGCCAGGCAGCCAACATAACAAAGGTGTCATCAATGCCAATACCTAAAGGGAGAGAGGAGGGATATTTTTAGTAATTTTTAATAAAGGAAATTTCAACGAAAGGGAGAGGACATTTTAAGAAAAATTCTCCATTAAAAAATTAATAAAAATTCTATTAAATACTTACCAATCATCAAAAATGGTGCCGCCAAATTAATGCCAATAAATTCAATACCCAAATACATGGCCAAACCGAAAGCAGCACAAGTGGCCATTACAGCAGAAATATTACCCATCAGTCCCAACCAAGGTTTCGAACGTACCGCATCTCCCATCATACAAGTGATGACACTGAACAAGGCCATCAGAATAAATGTGGAACTAAAATAAGGCACAACCGTTTGTGTGTTCTTTTCCAATTCATGATCGAGGGTTCGAGAGGCAAAATATGCTACAGATATGTGTTTAAATACTCCCGTGGTTTCGGCCTCTCCCACCACACGCAAAAATGTTTCTTCCCATTCGGCACCTCTGTAAAAAAGAAAACAGGGTTAATATTTTGCAGAATATACGATGATTTTTTTTCGGAACCCTACCTTTCATCTTGCCGTTTGGTATCCGCAGTCACAAAATATACCAATTGTATGGCTGGCACACTTATAATATAATTATCCTCGGTGACTTTGGTACCGCCAAAAAATACCGGAAATGCATGGGCATCCCATGTCACGGGATTGAACATCAGGGGAAAGGTTAAATTCAATTCACCGGATTCGATCTAAAATTATGAAATTGAAATAATTTAGTATCACATATCGAAAAGGTGAGGGATTTCAAAACTTACATCATCCATAATATAATCCAAATTCAAAATATCATTTTCGAAACATTCATTTTCCCAACGGGCACAGGCATCCTTATAGGTAAACGATTCCCCGTCATATGTCACTGTGGCATTCTGTATGATATTGTCCAATTGTCGTAATTCTTTGAATATTTCTCGACGTATCATATTGTCATTGCCATCTTTTGGTATGACAATAACTCGGCCAAAGCGTCCTAAAAAAACAACAAGAATAAAAAATTGTTTAACAAAATATGGAAATAATGAATAGAAATAAAATAAATATTACACACGTAGTCAATAAAATACACTAGGCTACAAAACTTATACATTTTCTAAAGTCCCTATGTATATTGATATTGGAAGAGAACACATATCTACGAATTTTTTATATATATAAAATAAACTTGACCTAGGAAAAACGTCACCTACGGTCCTACACGATTTTTTTTATAGAAAAATATTTTTCCAGAATTTTTTTCTATAAAAAAAAAACTTGATCTACGATCCTTACGGATTTTTTTCTATAAAAAAAACTTGGCCTACGTAGTTACATTTCTTTCTCTTTTTGCATTTATACTCTTTTACAATATGTTTGTAACCCTGTGTAATTAAATGAACATATTTGTATGAATTGTGAGTAAATTTGGGTTTTTGTTTTGGTGACCGTTTATCTTGCACTACGTGACCATACGTATGCATACATCGAAAAAACGTTTACCCCTTTTCTTTGCCCATATTTATATATGAAAAAAAATTATTTATATTTTTTCATATTAAGATTTGCATGTTTTGTTCAATTACTTTTTGTTCATTTTGAGTTAGGAAAAAAGCTTAAAAAACAAATAATCATAAAAAAATATATTATTGCTTTTTTTGTTTCTTCTCTCCTTCTCAATTGTCCCCTAAAAAACACGACAGGGTAATAAATCTAATGAACTATTGTCAGCAGCACCACCGTCAGTCACCAGCATCATCATTGGACAAAATAAAACGATTGAATTGTTTTTCTTTGTTGTAGTAGTTTTTGTAACTAATATAAAGGAAGCAATTATGTCATAGATTTTTCAATACAAAAGGGATATAATAGTCATAGAAAAATAATGAAGAAGATACTGCAAAAATTAGGGAAAATATAAAAACCCCCATTAAAAAATTTTAGAATAATGCAGGGAAATTCAAGGTTCGTATAGAAAAAATATTAAGGTTTTGATTTTATTCCAGAAAAAAATCAGTTACAATTATGCTAAGAATTTCCCAAAGTATTAGAAAAGGTTCAGAAAATTATAATAAATTGTAATGAAAGAATATAAAATTGGAAAAAGTGGATATTGAGTATATTTTCTGAATTGTATATCACGAATACATTTTATTATATTAAAAAGAATTAATTGTTTTAAAAATTATCTAAAGATTTTCATTAATCTCTCAGACAAAAATGCTATATAGATCGTATAAGTGTTGACAACATGTATACGCACTAAGGGTACAAAATAAATATTTATGGGAAACTTTTGACCGGTTCCATTTCACTAGGATCTCGAAGAATGGAAATTGAAGTCAGAAATGACCTCAGAAAAAATACAAAAATATAATAAAATAAATTATCAGTAGTGTTTGGCGGGTTATTTGGGATACCATTTGTATTTTGTTTTTGCAAAATAGTCAGGCTTAATCCCAGTTTGTTGTTTTTATAAAAAACAACTATTTATTAGTGGGGAATGTATGGCATTGTCCGCCGTGGGGTAAGGCAGGGAATTAAATTATTAAATAAATACGTTTTACCCGACAATTTTATTACAAATGTTTAACAGTTATAAAATTGTTTTAGGTCTATCTTAATTAAATACATTAAGGAAAAAATTATTTAACTTTAAAAAAATATCTTCCAGAGATAGAATTTTTGAAGAATCTTTTTTTCTAAATATAAAAAAATTAAGAATCTTTTCATCTAAATACAAAAAAAAAATCTCTCAATTATGTCTACTCAACAACTTTGTTTAGATAAATCCGCGACCCTCAATGCGTATAAGTAGTGACAGCATGTATACGCCCTTTAAACCCTTGTGAACACTTCAATACAGAAATATTCTCCAAATGGAAATATTTATGTTTTGACTGCAGAAATTTTATTTGACTTCTGGCCAACAAAAATCTAATTTTTTATTCTATTCATATCCCTAGGATATTCATATCCGTATATTAAGACATTTTCTAACAAAAAAACAGTTTAGGCTTTAGCCTAACATTTCAGCAATTAATTGAACGTTCCAATCTCAAAACATTACACGATTTTTTTTCTGCTTTGTTAAGAAAAATATGAACTGTGCTAAACAAAAAAAACCTTGATAGTCAGACTAAGATTAAAAAACAATAACAACAAATTAAGAAAAAAGGTGTAATTTGACCTCTACACAGAAAGTCAGCCAACCAGAAAATAACAAAAAACATGTCTGTCCCCCAGTTTTTTAAGTCAACCGCACATATAAGTAGATCAGCGGAACTAAAATAGGTTAAGGCCAAAATGTGATGATGATGGTACGGGGTTAAGGTATTAACCTTTGTCATCTTCTTGTGACAAAAAACAAAAATTTCACATTAGTCATCTTTGCTTAATTACAAACCTCATCGAATACTAAGCACATGTTTCAATTGAAAATAATTTGAAAAAAATATATCTCTAAGACAAGAAACCAAAAAAATGCACCAACACATAAGCTTCAGTTTGGAAACATACAAAAAAGCAAAAAAAAACAAAAATGGGTGTGGGAATAAAGCAGATGAGCGAATAAGTGGGGTCATGGCACAAAGCAACCAACGGCAATGAAATACAAAACCAAAACAAGGCATGATTTTTTTTTATAAAAAAAATTTACTTAGAAAAAATGATGAACAATAGATTTTGTGAATTGAATTTTGGTGAATTGCCTTATTTTTTGTGAGTTGGAGGTTCATTGAAGACCCCACACGAGAAAAAAATTGTTGTCGGCTTTTTATTGGAAATTAAAAAACCTTGTGATTTATTTTGTTGTTGTTGTTCAGCTCGAATTAGTTCATCATCCCAATGATCCCATGTTTTTTTTTTTGTTCTGCTTCATCTCTTCCTTCTTCTTCATTCCCCTAGTTTTCATTTAATTTGTTTTTCCCCTCTACTTTTCCGCAGTTGTTTGCCGTTAGTCATTTTGTGAAGACGACGAAGAAATCTCAGTTTCTTCATCAATTGGATTTTCTTTCACATTACAATCATCATCATCATCATCATCGCGATCATCGGCTGTGTGCAGAGATACGTTATTTTGCGCCGCCACTTAAGAATCCGAGGCTACAATTCTGGTGCTACTATTTGGTATGTGAAGCTGCTGTGGCTGCGGCTGATGATGATTATAATTTTATGCATCTACGTTACGTTTTTTTGTTTATTATTAAGTGACGTACAATGGAGAAAACAGAAAGTCCCAGAATGAAATTTGTTGTTGTTGTTGTAAAGTGAACGACAATGATTGAGGCTTCCAGACGGTTCTCGTTGGATGTCGTTCAACAGTTTTCCAGTGACTTGCTCTAATACATGATGATCAACAACAACAGCATGAGCAAATTAAATAATACAGGGATGAAATTATATTTGAGGTTTGCTGAGGGCCTCTTCTATCAGCTCGCATGCGATAGAATGTAAATAAGGGAGTCCAGATATAATTTTGTTAAAAAATAAGTATTTTACTCTCTTATTGCTGAAATTAATTTAAAAGGTGTCACCTAGTGCGTATAAGTGGTGTCAACATGTATACGCACAATAGTACTCAGTGACTGAGAAAATTGTTCTCAACAGAGGGATAATAAGTGAAGGAGAATAAGATAATAATAAATATTAATGAGAAGTATAAAAAAATATTTTTTATAGTCCAAAAAATATATGGGAGAGAAACTCAGAGGCTTATAAAAAATATATTTTTTTTTAAATTATTAAAAAAGACGGATTTAAAAAATGGGTTGTGAAGGATAAAAAAATATATATATTTTTTTAAATTTACAATAACCTCAGACTACAGACATCACTCCTAAATTAATCTTAGAAAACCTCATCAATTCTAATCCAAAACTATAAACGCAAATATTAAAAGACTAATTTTAATTTTCGAGGCCCCTCCAGTTACTGAAGGCCTCTTCTGACTACCAGCTCATCTTAAAGAAGACAATCATCATCATTATTAAATGACAGAACCCATCTAGTGGTGCTGAGCCGATGGCAGAGGGCACACATCAAAACTACGTATGAGAATAATTCTAGAGATATGTTTATACACATTATATACATATGTATGTATGACTGTATGTTTGTAGCACATGTACGTGCAAACATATTTAAATTTACAGCTTAGTTTAGTAAATTGAATTAAATCGCGCTCTTATTATTTTTTATTTAAAAAAAACCGAATTGAAATGAAAACAAACACATTCCCACATGCTTTACTTTAAAGGCAACAACAAAAATACAACAACCACAAAATGATGCTGCTGGAGAATTGAATGAACGAATGGTGATGATCTGTGAAATGACTTCGAAACAAACAACATCAAACACACAAACAACAATAAACATAAAGAAAGAACTCATAAAAATCAAACAAATAGAAGAATAACATAATGAAAATGAAAGTCAACGCCTACTAAAAAAATTAATTGGGTTTCACTTTGAATTAATTAATTTATAACGACGAAATTGAAAGCAAATTTAGCTACAAAAAATAAAATAATTTTTTTGTATCGATTTCCCTTACCTGGCCTTGTAATACGCCCAACATTAAAACGATGTGTATAGTTAACCTTAAAATACTGTTCCACAACGGCCCGTTCCGCCTTACCCTCACCATTAATGGGTGAGAAAAGATATTCGGGATCGATTTGATATTTTAATTGTTGGTAACTGAAACAGAAGATTGAGGAGAGAAATTAAATAAATTGAATATTTTATAAATTATTTTTATTTTAATTCCAACTTACCCCGTAATACACAGCAACGTCAGTAATATTGGCACAATAATAAAATAGCCTGGATGACGGGCAATAAATTTACCCAAATAGAAGAAGGTTTTATTTAACGTCTTGTCCACACAAGATATACCACAAGCCATCTGGAAAATAAAGAGGAAATAAAAGGTAAGTTAATTGAAAATAATTAGAAAATAAAAAATAAAACAATAAAAATAAAATTAAAAAATATATAAAAATAATAAAATTAAAAATAATAAAATTTAAAAATAATAATAATGCATGTCTATAATTCATCAAAAATGTTAACGTCTTCCTCTCTTAAAATGTAAATCCATAGCAGATAATATTTCTCCCTTTTTTTAAATGGAAGCCTATATCACTATCTGTCTTTAATATCATGCCCTCTCTTCAATGATAAAAAGGGTCTAATTAGAGAATAAATGTCATTGATGAATACACACACAATCACTTATCTCTTTCTATCACCTGTTAAGTGCTTGACAATACAGAGAAGAGCAAATGTGAATTCTCTTTAAATTCTCAGCATATGCATAATTAAAGCTTTCCTTAGAACATTTGATGTCGCTCTCTTTAAATGTTTATCCATGACTTGCATATTTGAGAGATCTTAAATGGATTTTAGACTCTTTAAAAAACTCCAAAGAGTGTTCCCTTTCAGTGCGACATAAAGAGACTCCCATAATATGATCACTTCATTGTAATAATAATAAAAAACTAGCTACAAGAATACACTTAACAATTTAAATATGAATGAATGAAATGATGACGATGAAGTAATACCCCCTCTCCTCCAAAAGCAATCACACAATCACAGTCGTTAACCTCGCCTAATCGTTTCTTATTAAATATGTTGGAACACTTACAACAACAACAATGCCACATACAAAACCCTACTCATTATTAATAATAGTTGTGTGTTTGTGGGGTTGGGAAATAATTCATTTGACACTGTGATTTTCAAAGCAAAAAAAAAACCTACGAAACATCATCATGCCAATCATCACATTTTGGGTGGTTTTTGAACAACAACAACAAAAAGGGAGACGCACACACAGACACACACTCAAACGCAATTCACCTGAAAAAGGCATGAAAGGTAAAACTGTTCATTGTCATAGAGCTATGCATATGTTTGGGCGACGTTAAACGTATACTCTTCATATTAATAACAAAACGTTTTAAACATTATTAATATGAATATGTATAAAAAAATCTCCCTCTAATGTGTTACGCTTCATCGCCGAATAATAAAAAAAAATATTTAGTAGGGGTGTTTTATTAAATGTCTCACCTTGAAGTGGCTGCATGCTATTTTAATTTTATGTTTTTTTTTGTGAGGCAGAAAATAGGGAGAGAAAAATGGGACTTAATACGTTAAAGGGCGAGAAGAAAACTTTAGACGCTCGAAAGAATTTTTTTGGGGTTTTATGAGGGTAGATATGGGCAAAATGCCTCATATGAGACTTCGAAAGACAATAAATTTTTTCTTCAAATCTGCTATAGACAAAAAAGGGAGACACGAAAAAAATTATGACCTTTAGATGTCTATAATATAGGGAAGAGGTTCAACATAAGTCTCCAAAGTTTCTGAAAGTTTTCAGTAGGCATCAGAACACCTACAAATCAGAAGATTTTCTGGGGACTTCCAATTTCTGAATTTTTTTCCAGTGCTCTTCCGGAGGTGTTTATTAAATAGAATATCGTTTTTCAGGAATTTGCAGGAAGTTTTCTATAGACAGAATTCATACTGGGTATTTTCTATTCTGAAGGACTTTCTGTAAAAAATAAACAGAAGGCTTTCGAAGGTCTTTTATAGGCAGAAGACATCCTGTAGATCTTATAAAGATCAATCAACCTTCTCTGAGGATTTTCTTTTTCTATTCTGGAGGACTTTTCTGTAAAAAAATAAACAAAAGGCATTCTGAAGGTCTTTTATAGACAGAAGACATCCTGTAGATGTTATAATGATAAATCAACCTTCTCTGAAAGACCTTCTGTTTAAAAAATCAAACCAATGGAGGAAAAGAAGATTAAAAAAAAATATTTTCACTTCCTCGACAGATAGAAGATATTTAGGTTGGTTTTCTATAAAAATACATTTACAAAGAGGAAGTGAAAAAACATGTCATTTACAACCTAGAGGTAATTGAGTAATTGTAAATTAAAATAAATTACCAAATAATTTGCATTGCCTAAAAATCACAAAACCATGCATTTTAAAGGTCAAAATTAATGGGCCCCTATTAGTGTTAATATGACGACATTATAAAATAACCGTCGATTAATGCCGGCGTTTTTGATTTAATTTAGTCATTTTTATTTGTAACCCAAGATAATTTATCATCCTTGAAAGTTAAATATTTTTACGGTATTTTGCAGCCAACAAAAATGGAAAGGTTTAAAAAAAATTAGAAACTAATTGCAGTTAATAAGAGAAGATAAGAAAATCTACATTTGAATTTATTTAATTATTTTGTTTTGGGCGAAATTAACCAAATTTGCAGCTAATCAAGGCAAAATCAACAATTAAACCACTAATGCACAAAATAGTACGATAGCGGTGATTGCTAAACACGTATTCTCTTTTTGTCTCTTTTCGTCAGTAATTTTTGATGATTATCTCTCAGTTACGCTCTCACATACTTACTCTTAATTTAGTTCTGTTCAACTCTGAATTAAACCTATTAAAAGACTTAAGCAACGAACATTATTATTGTGCAAGAGAGAGCAATTATGTAAAGCTCTGTTATCTCCCATGTGTGTGCATGAAAGAGAAAGAGGTTAAGTTACTCATTAGAATGTAATGTCTTAGAATCTAATTAGATTCCAATAACTAGAACAACGACCTCATAACAAAAGACTTAAGCAAGAAACTTTGTAATAAAGGAAAATAAAGAAAAAAGAGCATTAAGAGCAGAGAGTCACTATTCATTGCATTTTTAAAAGAAAGAAAAAATCGGGCCTACACTTTATTTATTTATTTAATTATGAGAATATTCCCTTTGTTATTGTAAAACCCAAACGCATTTTGTTGACACTACTCATTATTATTAACACCATGTTATATTTATGATTAGCATCCTCCAAATAATGAACGTGTGCTCATCACACCAGTCTCAAAAGAAAACCTGACAACACACAAAAAAAACTAAATAATTATCATTAACCATGAATTTAATTACGAAATTTTTTCCACTTAATTTGCTTACATTTTTTCAACATCGTTAATAACAATGGCAAAAAGCAGAGCAGAGCAGTCACCAGCAGCAAATGTTCATCGTCAAAGCCACCAAAAACCCATTGGCCATAAATCAAGATTTTTTTGTTTTGTATTTTTACAATGAAAACGAAATCCCCAAACAGAAAACCAAGAAAAACAAAAAATAGTGTCGCAAATGCCAACAAAGTTCATTATCACACAACTAAAAAAAATCATCTACACAAACTTGCAGTGTAGTTCAAATTTTTGATGTAGAGGAGGCCAAAAAGCCGGCTCAATTTAAATTCCAACTCAAGTATCTGCGGACATTGACAGAGGCAAGGGAGGGGTGAAATAATTGTCTGCAGCTTCATAATGTAAGAAACCCTTGACTCTGAGGAAATTCATGAATGAATGTTTGGATATTTTTTGGTAACTGATTGATTTGTCGGGGAGACTAGCCTTAGCTTAGCTAATGAAAACTTTTGGTTTTCAAAAATTGCTCTTGTTGTTTTTTGTGTGCTGTTGTGTTTTGTTTAATTTTTTTTCGATTTTTATTTGAAAGTATCATGCATAATGTAACAAAATCCCAGACTTTAGACTGTGGCCAATTGTGTAAAGTGTTTTTAGTTCATTTTTTTGTCTATACTCATCATAATTGAGCTTTGCTGTTTTATGCCTTTCAATGAGCCCCCACTTATCTCTGATTTTAATTTTTGGTGCATAAATATTCAGTTTTGTTGCTGTGAATTATGACTGCATTTCATGTTTGCAGTTAATATTTATATTTTTGTGTGTGTTTTATTACTTTTAACCGCATAGTTTGTTTGTTACACGATAATGTAGTTACACATTTTTTTATGAAAACTTGGTTTGTAAACCCTAAAAATGTATTTTTAGTGCTTGGGGGTTTTTTTGTGTTTGAATTTCGAGTTCAGGGAGATGACATGCACAAATTGACAAAACATAAAAACAATGTGTGTTAGTGGAAATGTGAAAAAAAAAACTGAAACGCAAAGTTCGAGTTGTGTGTTTTTTATTTGTACTGAAAAAGGGCACAAGTGTACAATGAAAATGAAATAATTTATTTTAAATGAAAATGTAGTACATTATGGTTAATTTCCAATGAAATCTCATCGAAAAATTTTGTGTGTTTGAAAACCTTAAGAAAATATTTATTTAAAAATTGTTATTGCAATTTTGTTAATTTTTTTATTTAAATTTAATTGTTTAATGTTTATTTCATATGATAATTTAATTTTTTATCCTTCTCTGATCAAAAACATTATTCCCATGGTTGTTCTCTTGCCATGGAACTCTATATTAATCGTATAACATACTCTCTCATTTCGCTTTAATATTAAATATCACAGAAATATAACGGAAGCAAAAGACTTAAGCAACAAACTTTGATAACTATTCCAAACAATGACTCTTATCAGTGCCTCTCTTCATCAACGGCTCTGTAATAATCACATAAAGTCCTCTCATTTATCAATAATAACAGTAGCTAAATACAAAAGACTTAAGCAACAAACTTTGATATCACCCATAACGTTCCTTCTTTAATGACTCTCTTAACAAGCATCTATCAGATTATCAGAGAGAGAGAGAGAGAGAGTAACTCTCTCTTTGTTTTAAAATGGCAAACACATAGAAGAACCATTAAGAGAATTTTAAGAGATAGCTGTAATAGAAGTTATTTTAATTCTTTAAGGGAAAATCGTAAGAAAATATCGAAAAAATGCATTTATATGAGTAAAATATGTAATAAATGATTAAATAAAATTGTAAAGGAATTATTAATGGATATTGTTTTTGAAAATTCAATTTAGCGATAAAAAATGTAAATTGTATCTTCATTTCTATAAAAAGAAGGGGAAATATTTTGAATGAGTAGTTGAATATCATACTTTTTAA